GCCATGCAACACTGTTCCTCCCTTATCCCATAAGTGTCTAGCATTTTGAGGAATGATCCGGTTAGGTCTTTCAAAAGAAGAGTGTTCAAAAAACCAGATATTTCAAAAGTCATGTTTACAATTGTAGATTTAGATTTGGAATTCAAAATAGGTGCTGTGCAAGGAAAATGAGAATGTGCTATACTAGTGAAAAGAAGCTTCTGAAATAATAGATACCGCTCAGTGCTTCTGTGAGATGTACAAAAAAAAAAAAAATCAACTTAATATTATTACACTATTTTATTAGAGTATGTACAATGTGACTACATTCTTTTGTAAAATTCTTATTTTTACCAGATTTAATATAGGTGTCACTGGCTAGAATATTATTAATGGGAACAGCTGAAACAAAGCCACATGGTTGAAAACTAAATACTTTTCTTCTACTCTCTTAACATTTTCTTTGTGTTTTACTTGCCATCTTTCTCTTCCAGTACCACTCTTTGTTTCACTGTAATAATCTGTTCCTGTACTTGTTTCTTGCAACTCACCAGTAAAATGTTTTAACTCCTTTCCCTTCTCCCTGAGCAAAAAACCCAAAAACTTAGATCCAAATACAGTAACATATTTCCTGGTTTAATTTTTCCTTCCATTTCTCAAAAATTGTGTTACTTTTTTCTCTTTTCACTAACACAAAGAAGGACAGCACAGCCATTTATGAAAACAAGAACTGAGACTGATATATCAAAAAGTGGTATGTGAAAATCAATGTATGCTGTCTGAATTTAGTCAGATCAAAGTATAGCAAACTGCCATGCAAAATAGTTTTCTAATATAAACTATATAATGAAAGTGAGTTCTTAGATGGTAGAGTATCAAGGAATAAATTAGGCCATCTTGTATGAGCATACAGACTGGTACAGCAGTACCGTAGTGATCTCAAGCACCAAGTACTATAAAAAAAAACTTCTGTACAAAATAAGACCTGTTAAAATATTTTTCAAAATTTTATGAACTTATATTGGTATATCTGAGGAACAATTAACACACTCTTAACTAATTAAAAGGACAATATATAGTTAAAACTTGTAACTTGTTTTTGGGATGTCTTCTTGAAACCTGGATACACAATAGATTTCCTTTAATAATTTGCTTTGTACCATATGCCAAATAATTTTTTTCTTTAAAAAGAACAAATAATTACATTAAAATTTAAAAAATTAAATGATTTCTTCTATTATTTACCTTCTAAAATTCAAGTTCCTGGTTCTACATTTTTTCACTTCGCAAATAATGCTAAAGCACTTCCAAAGCAATTTGAGGCTAAAAATATTGATATTTTATCATTTTAAATATTTTTCTGAAATTACTTATGAAAGCATGTTAGATTACCTTTGAAGTACAGCTTAAAAAGTGATTTGAAATACCAATATGTATTAAATAGAAGTCTCTTTGAAGTAACAGCCAGAACCATACAGTTTTTATAGAAGCCTCCACCTAGGCATTGCAACATCTGAATGCTGGACATCTTGACCCTCCAAAATGGTCTGCAGAGACAGGGTTAGATGCTTAAGTACCTATAATACAATCAGTGGAAATAGGAAGGCATCTCCAAAGAGCAGTCCAGAGTCCTAAGGTGCTGAGCAGGGAGATATGTAGAGCAAACCAACAAAGAAATGCTAGGCATATGAAATGTGCCTAAGCTTCTGCTCCTCCTTGGAGCCTAATAACCTGTATCATCTCAAGATCAAGGGTGCCCAGAGGGGAGACACTTAACTGATCAAAACCCCTGGCACACAGCTGTACTCAGTTCAGTACAAAAGTACAGCACCCCAATGTCACTCTCAAGTGTGGGAAAGCAACACTTAAAGAAACATTTTATTTTGTTGTTATACATCTCTTTTCTAGTGAGAAATGAGAAAGCAAGTACCACAAACTGAAAGAATTTTGTTTGATTTCAAAAGATTTTTTTTTGTTATTGATTGTCTTTGGACTTGAAACATTTGGCAACAAGTGTGCAGAAAGTCATAATCTATTTGAATTTTGCAACTAAAATGTGTAAATGGAATGTGTAGAAAGAAAAGCTGACCTTGTTAGCTGGAAAATTACAACATGCACAATTTCAGAACACTTATCCAAACATTAAAGTTCAATTTAAATGTAAAATGGTCTCTATAAAATTAGCAGTACAATAAAAATACTGTCATCCCAAATATTTATTTTGTTATTTGGGAAACTGAAACACACAAAAATGAATTAAATAACTAAGTAGATTTCCTTTCAAATACTACTTTACTTTGTTAAGTAAAGCATAAAGAATAAACCTTAAGTAGTTCTTAAAGATAAAAGGATTTGATTGATTATCTGAAGTATACTTGGTGCAGCTAAATTTCAACCAAAGGATTCTTCAGAAATTTTCACTGAAAATTATTTTGAGCATAGAGTATTAGAGATTAATTAGTCTATCTGCCTGACTTATCACCCGAATCACAAAGGATTTTTTTGTGACTTTTTAATTACTATACTTTTGTTCTGAACTAATTAGGGTTGAAACACACAAAATGTGACACAAATCTATACCTCATAATTATGACTCCTACCATATGCCCCACCATACACTGAAGTTTAAATCCTGCCCCCTTTCAGAGCTTCTGCAACACACCCTTTATTATTCTTTTCCAGTATGTTTGGTTTATTACTTATATTACGAAATGGCAGTTTTGTAAAGGGTTTTATAGTAAAGGACAGTTAAATTGATTGCAGGGGGTCACATCTTCCTATAGCGGCAGAGTTACACTACAGTATATGGTTTCCGGTGTAGACTCATTACTGACACAAACAGCAAATTCACCATAGTACATTGGGCTTCTCTGGGTATTCCAGATACCAAGGACCAAAATGATCATCATATTAAAACTGATGTTGCCAAGAAATGCACAGCAGTACCAGCAGCATCTAGAGCTAATTGTAAAGAAATGTTCAGTATTAACTGACATTATACGATTAGAATCCAACGCTGTTCTGCTTGTTCCTGTTCCAGTTTATCAATAATGGCTGTAAATATGTTGTAATAAAGAAAAAAAAAATCTATCTTAAGCACATAATAGTTAGACATTGCTACAGATGTGCCTAATAATAATTTTATGGAAGAACAGGCCCAGCCGGTTCTGGTCCTTTCCAGCCAAGGTAATGTTAGTGTAACGCTGCTTTTCTTTGCATTCACAGCAGTAACAAGAAAATTTGGCAGGAGCACAGAGAGGAGACAACTACACTTACATAGGTAGTGGAGACATGAATAATTTATGACAGCACAAAAGCAAGCTTGATTTTTGCCTACTGCTTACATTATAACAAATACTGGTTAACTGTACACTTGTTAAGAACATTATAACCACTTAAGCACACGGCACTTTTGCCCCTGCCGTCTATTTTGTAATGCAAATGTACTCCATTTACAAGCCTTACTGAAACTAACTGGCAGTCAGGAAACTGGCAGCTTTCAATTTCAAGCATGCAGCTATAAAGCAGACACTTCTGCACAGAACCAGCAGAAGTTGAAGTCCCTGCTAGTGATTTGCAAGTAGTTGTTTAAATTAATTGAGATCAATCATTAATCATCACTGGCAAGGTAACAATAGCAATTTTCAAGTTTCTTTGTGATTCATTGATAATTTAAAAACCAAAAACAAGCTGTTATTTAAAGGCCTAGGGCTGAAAACATGTATTTCATAACATAGTCCTTGCTCTGAAAAGAGACCATTCTTGAAAATCTTATGAGCTACTGAAATATCATATCTTCATTTGTATTCAGTAGCTTTGTTAGCTGAGGTTGGGCTATTTCATCTTTCTTAAAATATGTAAACACAATTACGTAGAATGTTGTAAGATGTACAGAACCAGAAACTTTGGTCCTCTAGAAGATAAAAACTGAAGTTCAGTGTTTAGAATAACATTAAGATAAAATGTTTTAACTTGAATTGTTTAAATTTTTAATTGGTTAATAAACAAGTTTTATATTTTACATATACATATTTAAAAGATTCAGCTTAGAGTGCATCTTTCCAAATATTCTTCCAGCAGACTTACAGAATAAGGTCATCACTTGAGAACATTAATTTATTTTTAGCAAATTCTTTATATTTCTTGAATACAGCTAGTTACCATACAAGTTTTTCTAGTGCTTAGCACTACTGGGCCTGATCCATCACTGAGACCTTTTAGCACTTCCTTAAGTAATCAAAGAACATAGTCTCTCACATATTGTATTTTAAAAGAAACACAATTTAAAAGTTTATTATATGTCTTAGCTGTGTCTTAAAAATCTCAGAGTTGTGCTGTTTTCAGATAGAATTTTGAATTCTCTTTTTATATGATAATTTTTAAACAGAAAAAACACTAGAGACTATATCCTAGTATTCACTTCCTTCATCAGCAGCACAGTGGCAATCAAAATGTTTCCATGCTTCCTGGAAGTCACAATGATTGTCTAACTCTTCAAGAGCATCTGCTTTCCTTTGTATTTTGGTAAATGTGTTCAACAATTTCATTATATCACTGCTAAACAGTTTTTCAAAAAATTCATCTGATTTTTATTTGTTACTATAACAACTACTCTTGTACTGTATGGATGCCCTGCAAATATCAGAAAAATCAAACCTAGACAGGTCCACTGTTGTTATTATATACTACATGCATTTGCACATTTTTAAGCAGAAGTGTATTGATAACAACACTGTGAGGTTTACTAGACCATACACACATTTTGAGCCTAAATTTAACTTAATTACACATGTACACAGAAAGATTTCATAGGCATTAGGGGTGGAAGGGACCACAAAAGATCGAGTCCAGCCCCCCACCCGAAGGGCAGGAAGTCAGCTG